GGCATGCGATCTACGATTGCTAACCACTGCACCACAAATGTGATGGAATTCCATGAGGGAAAACACCAATTTAAAATTCATCAAGGTGTTGTGTTTCGTATTCAAGTCAGTCAGCTGGCACTGAAAACTCCAACAGTAGGCGGGACAACAGCTCACTTTATTATATCTCAGATGACGCAGCGGTTCGTGCTGGGGCTCTCGCGCAGAAGGACTGGCTTTAATTCTTCAAACAGCTCCAATTCTACTACTAATGCTGATAAATCAATACACATTAATACCTGCCTTTAGAAATAACTTTCATAAAAGTTGCGAACTAAATATAGTGCTCAATTGTTGTAAAGGACAAAAAACTTTTTTAATTTATTTTCTAAAAGTTCCGTTCAAGTTCCGCCAGAGGCTGCTTAGAATGCTCTTCAATTATGGTACCGGAACTTTCAAGTTCTTATAACGACTTAAAAATTAGGCTGCTTAGATTTTTATAGACCACGTCCAACCAAGCTGCTTAAGCCATAAATAGCTTTTTATCAGAACTTTTGGTTACTTGGGTGATTTTCGGCTCCAAAATGAGTAGCCTCAAAATAGCGTATAGGTCACTCATATAACCAAAGGCGTATTAAGGGGGGGGGGGGGCAACATGGAGAATTAGGATAGACGCCGATTAGCTGAACATCATTATACCGATCGCTATTACTAGGTCCATCGTCGTTTAACCGAAACTGAATTTTCAGTCAAACTTCGGCATTTGACATCGGCATTTGACATCGGTATTTTATAAATTTGTATAAAAATACAACATGTTTATTGATAATGTATCCAGGGTGCCAGAACCTTTCAAAACTCTAGGGATTGTCTTCAATTCCTTGTGTTTTTTTCAATCGTATTAAAATTAAGTTAGTGTAGTCTTGCAATCCTCTGATTTTCCACTCCTGGATCTTTTTCATTTCCCTAAAAACCCCTCACAACATATTAATTTGACGTAGGACTACGTCTGTGTTTTCTATATGAGGGTACAGTTTGTGAAAACCGAAAGGGAACATGTAACAAAATTATGAAAGATTTTGAACGTTAATAACTCAGCTGCCATTTCGATCAGAAATATTTCTAAGCATCACAACAAATTTGAGACTTTATCATTTTTTCTAAATGTCACTATTGAAAATTGCACGAATTTGCAACTGTTGCTATCAGTATTGGGAAAATATCAAAAAATGAAATCTCACCAACGCGCAAGATCACGCTTGATTTTCATAGACAAAAATCAACAAGCAAACAACTGCGGTTGATTATCCAAGCTGTGATATCGCAGCTCGGAATGTCAAGCTAACAAAACTCACCAACTGCAAATCTCACCTAACTGTGGTGAAATTGAGTTTAATGATTTTGCCTTTACACCCGAATGCAACCGAAACTTCCATAACGGCTGGCAGCAGTCCCTTTCGCGTCTGCCATCGGTGAAGATTAAAAAAACGAAAGCAAACTATGCTTTCTCTTTCTTAGAAAACAATGTGCAATGGAATCATTATTGTGTCGAGTCAACTCTCAGCTTGATGTTTGCACGTTGTGAATAGTCTCGCAATATCAAAGGAGCTTGTAAAATAAATATCAAGCATGATGTTTTGTTCCAATATCATGAGAGCGGAAAAATATCAATTGATTTCTGATTTTGCCAACACTGGTTGCTATGATAATTAAAATTATCACCGATTGCCTGCGAAAAACGATTTCCCTAACACAGATTTCAAAGTTGAATTCCGTCCGGTCTCCCCAAACGGTGTTTAATCAATCACCGCGTGAGTGATGTGATGATGTTCTCCAATACACAACGAAAGGCTCCCCGCAAGCAGCTAACTTTCAAGGCTGGCCTCAACCGCTGATCGGATTCAGTTCCAATCACCATGTGTGGTGGTGTCCTGTCGTCCGCATCATCATCAGCAGTAGCAGTAGCAGTGTGTTCGGCGCGTGGCGTTGAACATTGTTCTCCAGTACACAACTAAAGGCTGCCTGCAAGCAGCGAGCTGCAGCCCACATGGGAATCCATAGAAGGAGGAAGAAGCCGCACCGCTATATATCGGAATCAGTAGCTCTTCGTGAGACGCTGTTGGCCATCTATGCCTAGCGCGTTACCCTCATTCCAAACAACATACAGCTCAACAGCCTCATCTGTATTTAATACCATAATGATGGTGGTTACTCAACCATCACGACAAAACGATTCTTTTCAGGTCCACCATAAATTTGTAGAAGAGCATGTTTTGGACATTTGTCAAGGTCATCAATCAGATGTCAGTTCCCATATCAAGATAGAGCTTGAATTAGGGCGTAACAACTTTGGTAAACAATGACTTCTTTCGATGATGTCTTGAAAGTCAAGACTCGCCCACGCAAAGCAACATCACCATCAAGTAGGGTAAGACATCCGTTGGTTTGCGTGGGTGTGCCTTGAATTTCCAAAAATCGTCGAGAGAAGTCATTCTTTACAAAAGCTGTAACGCCTAATTCCAGCTCTATATAGATATGTTTAAATCTAACACACCATGTACATTAAGGCCACATTGGGGGTGCAATTTCAAAAACCAAAGTCGGTCGCGGCATGAAAGCGATTTCCCTAGCACAGATTTCAAAGTTGAATTCCATCCGGTCTCACAAAACGGTGTTTATTCAATCACCGCGTGGTGAGTGGTGGGGTTCTCCAGTACGCGACGAATGGCTGCCTGCAAGTAGCGAGCTGCAGCCCACATGAGCATCCATAGAAGGAGGGATAAGCCGCACTGCTTTTGAGTAGAATCAGTAGCTCTTCGTGAGTTGCTGTGGGCCGTCTATGTCAATCGCCTCATACAAAGGAGTATTAACAGAGAGAATCCCGCTCTAATTCCTATTCTTACACAAAACACAAGCTCCAGCTGCAGTTAACAAATAAGATTTATTATATAAGACCACGTAGTCCTACGTCACCATTGCGTACAACCCCATAGGGCTGTCCTTTGTAATTTTTAATTTTCCCAAGAATTTTCTTTGTAACAAGTTTCCGGTTATCTCATTCAAATTATTGATACAGATGACGGGTATCATGCTCAATAACATTAGGAAGAAAACCAGAATTAAAAATTAACCAGGGTGGAAAAGCGATAAATTGGTTTTAACAATTGGTTAAGGAATCTAAAGCTTACGAACTCATGTTTTGCTCGATATCTGAATTTTATTTTCTCCAGACGGTGAAAGATTTTTTTAAATTCGGAGTCTAATATAATTTTTAATTTTTTCTGCTTCGGTAAATGTTGAGCATTTCCAACATATTTTTTTTTAACCAAGACTTATAAAAGGATCATAACCTTGCAATAGTAGTCCGTTTAATGTTGTCCATATTTATTAAAATTTTCGACAGTAATTATAAAGATGTTGCGCGTTTTTTGCAGGAACAGGATTTTAATATTCTACAATTTGTGAACGTTTAATACTTAAAGATTTCTTATTTTATCGAAGACATTCTCAATTCCTCGTCTCATCTTAACATCTTTAACAACTTAAAAAAATATGTTTGAAAACTTAGTCTTGGTAGAGATGTACTATTTTATTCGATAACAGTTTTTCAATAATCATTATTAACTTGAACATTTGTAAGAAACATTTGATTTTAGATTTTTCTTAAAGTATGGGCTAGCATTAGATAAAATGATTAGTTTCAGACCATCCTGGAGTAAAGCTCACAAAAGTCGCAAAAACCGACAATTTTATTTTGTTTTCCACCCAATTGTGAAAATTTAAAAAAATATATATTCACAAGTAAAATTTCTGACACACTAGAAGTAGTTTGGATTCTAATTAGAATTCCCTTCAAACTTTCACCATCTACTGAATTTTTTGAAATTAACTCTACGTTATTTTTGGTATTCTCATGAAATCTAGCACTTCAGTTTATTCTATGTATAAAATTCTCTTGTTATATTCATTACAATTCCTTTGAAATTTCTTCAGATTTACCTATAAGCATTTTTCAGAAAACTTTTGAAATTTGCTATTGAAGTTTGCTACTAATTTTCTTGAAACTTTCCTCAGAACACTCCTGAAATTTTCATCAGAACTTTGTTAAAATTCTTGTCTTCAAAATTCCCTAATATTTATTAACAACCCATTGAAATAATCTCTCGAGTTAAAAATTTCTTTAGAATTCTAGCCAACATTGTCAATCTTTGAAGTGCTAAACCGCTAATTATTAGAACTTTGAAAATATTTCATTATGTCAGATTATTGGGAAAGTTTTAGAATCAGTTGGAGTTTCATAGAAGAGAAAAAAAATAAAAGTTACAAATTGGATTTAAAGAACAAAACATTTTAAAATTTTAAAATCTGAATAATAATTCTCAGTCCTTGAACAAAACCCAAGAATCATGAGAATTTTGGTAGCCTGTAATTATCAAGAAAAACAAAATATTGCTGCTTTTTTCGAGTTTACGGAAATAATGGAACGAACTGAATTCTGATTCGGAAACTTAAACAAATGTGGAAGAAAACCATTGAAAAAAAAAGTTGACAAAAGCTAGTTAAACAAAAAATTTAACTTCTTTCTTAGATCCATAGGCCAACATTAAAGCCATTTCCCCTACTTAGGAAGGTTGCACCAAGTTGTTAGTAGTGATGAGATTAAAACTGACAGCTTTCATTAATCCATTAACGAACTGTAAAAGCGCTCGATGCATATTAATTTAAGACTCAGCTTTAGTTGCAGTAAAATCGCTATAAATCAGGAATCCAATTAATCTTCCCGCACGGCAAACACCTATTCCGCAAAATAGTTGTTTTGAATCGCCCAAATCAAGTCCTAACTTTACTTAAACTCCAGCAGCTGACCTTCCGATCAAATCCGCTGATGGCGAAACATTTTAGAGGACGCGCTGCCACAGCACACTTCCCACCGAGCCGAACCAGCTCCTCCCGGTGGAATCGTTTTACGCAAAAGAATGCAACTACATACATTTATAGGAAGGTCGGTTAGGTATACTCACATTATGCAACTTGTAGTACAGTCCACAGGCATTGCAAACTGGTTCTCCGCTTTGGTTCCTCCTCCACAGCGAGGTGGTTGTGGTTTTGCAGTTGGCGCACGATGTTCCCGCCCGCCGGGCAGCACTCTGCTGGGACTGGATCGAGAGGGAAAGAAGAACAAGAAACAGACAAGTGAGACAATTTTAATTACATTTTGGACGCGCTATAAAAGTGCAGTGCTTTGTTTTGAGCGGGTTCGTTCAAGTACATGCTCACCGTCGTCATCGTCGTTGTCAAGACTTCCCCAACTTTCCAATTCACACAGATACACGTTCCGTTTTTTCGGGGGGAAAAACGCAGCATCTCGTGTCAAGTGGTGGTTTTCTGATCGAAAATCACGTAAAGTCTGGGATGGGAACACGTTCGATGAAATATTTCTCACACTTTCAGAGCCACTCGCCCCCAAACCGCGGCTGCATGATCTCGTGCTTCATACATTTTACGCTTTTTCGCACAAATATGCTAAGCCTCAAGAAGCGGTAACGAGCCCTCTCTTCTTTACAAGTATTATAGCTTGTGCAAAGAGTGAGAAGAGGCAGTAGGCATCTCGCCCCGCCACAATAACAATAATAATAACAATAATCGACCCACCAAAACAACGCAACAACGACGACGTCCGCCCCTACAAATCGGAACGCGATTGCCGCGTGTCCCGTCGTCTCTCGTTCGTCCTTTGCAAGATCATCGATCGGGGCGTCGTCGTCGAGCAGCGTTCCAAAATCTCATAATCCGCATGGTTGTTGGCAAAAGGGGGCTAAACCTTGTTAAATTTGATACTGTTGCAATAGCAACGACAACAACAACACACACGGCAATTCGTTAGCTAAAGGGCACGTACGAATCGACTTCCCATTCGGAAGGATGCGTTCGGTGCGAAAAAATGACTGCGCACATTGGAGTTTGGACACATTTTCCCATATATGTAGTACGGTGAGGAGGATTCACTGGGTTCTTGAACATGCACTTGAATGGTTTTCCCACACATTGGATAGCATTTTGAGCGATACTTACGGTAACTGGTTTCCGCTTGGGCTTGATCAACGGCCGGTTCTGGCCGTTCATCTTGTAGTACAGCCCGCAGGCATTGCACAGGTAGTGACCGGTGGCGTCCCGCCGCCATAGGGGCGTTGAGGTTGCACCACAGTTGACGCACTCTCGGCCTTCTGTGGATTGGAAACAGGAAACAGTGTGGCGTTAGAAATGGGGGGTAAAAATTGCACAATTTGATAACGCCAAGGTTGACTTGGCGGGTATTTATTACTGGTATTACTGGCTGCGAGTGCGACCAGATGTGCTAGGTATGTCTTCACGTCCAGCTATTTGAAGGTTAATGGATTTGACTGATAGGATCACACCAATACCGGAGAGTGCAATAGCCGGTGGCACTCGAATTGTGTAAAATCGTGGGAAAGCAAACTGGGAAAAAATTATGCTTTCTAAGTTCGTTGTCAAAAATGTTCAATGTTTATGATAAAACTAGGGTTCGGAAAATCGAAAAATTACGTGAAACATGAGTTGAAACGGTTGCGCATACGAGGTTATACTGATGGACATTTTTGTGATTCATTTTTTCACTCAACGCTCGGTAATTGAAAAATGTTGAATTTACATCTAGCGAAATAGATTTCATTTGTCAAACAAGTTGTGAAATGCATTTGAAGTGCATTTGACTTTTCTTGACATTTTGATGTTTGCGCAATTTTGACTGATATGCGCTCTTCAAGCGAAACTTGTTATAGTTGCTGGACTTCCTGTTAAAAGGCAGTTTAGTAGTGTGGTAAATCGACCGACTTTTGCCTGCTGAAGCTTAATCATGTTCAGTCATGTGTTTGTTTTTCAAGCTTTTCATCGAAGTATATACAGGGTGACTGGTAATTCGTGTTACACCCTAAAGGAGGTGAAAGTAACGGGTGTTCAATAAAAAATGAGAATGATTTCAGTGCCGTCCAGCGCTCTTGTGAGAGCATCGCGACTATGTTGCGTCGCACGGCTGACGAGGGCCCCTTCGTCAATGAAGTTTTTTTGAAGAATAAACATTATGTTTTTAATAAAAAATACTGAATTCGTTGAAACAATTTTTTTTTACTAGCTGTATGACTGAAAAAATTTTCATTTTTTATTGAACACCCATTAGACCACATTTGCAGCAAAAAAAAGTATTGTAAGGTAGGTCGAAAAATCATTCCTTATCAATTTATTGCTCTATGATGAAATGATGATGATGGTCTCACCTCTTACCCCTACAAAGGTTTGAGCTGGACGAGCTATCTTTAAGATAATTAAATATAAACATTTTAACCAGGTTTGCAAACAAAATCGAGCAGGTTACAATTACAGATATAAATGTCCTGTTAAATATGCTATAGGCATCAATCAAAAACATTCAAAGGTGTAACTAGTTATCAAGAGTCCAAGTATAGTCCTCGACAATACTTCCATTTACACGTGACCTGGGATTTACACGTTTAAGCTTCCGCAGTGCCAGGACTATATCCGAGGAAACGACTACCAGCCAACCCTTTACTAATTCAAAGCTTTTGCCACAATTTCCACGTAGGGTAAACGCTCCTATAGTTGCGGTACGTTAGAAGCGTTAGGTTCCTATAGTTGTGTATGGAGACTGCATACACAACTATAGGAACCTAACGCTTCTAACGTACCGCAACTATAGGAGCGTTTCCCCTATTAGTCATTTATACCTGTATTCCGCGCGCGAGGCTCAAACCACTGTAGACAACTCAAAGCTATTTTTACTATTCCTACTACAAAATCAAAAAAACTAAAAATCCATCATCACCATCGAGGCAAACAATGTAGTTTATTGTATATGCTACACAAATTACTAAAATGTATTTATGACAGTCTCCATACAAATAATCCATTAGAGATAACATTGTCAAGATACATGATTTATCCATTCATAAAAATTTAACTGCTCAATAAACAGCTTTTACATGAAATGCAGCTTCTCTTAAATTCTGTAAGTGTAGTTGCACGCTTGATGTGTCGAGGCATTGAATTGAAAACATTTATACCTTTGAAAAATAATGAATTTTGCATTATTCAAAAGATGTGGTGTTCTTACTTCATCCGCGTTTCTAGTGTTATATCTATGAAAATCACTTCCTCTTTCAATCCGATTACACAAATATCGAGGCAGCAAACCGTTAACTACTTCAAAAATGAACACCATAGTCAAAAACACAATTCTTTGCTTGACTGACAGCCAACTGCAAAGCGTCCAGCATAAAAGTTGAGGAAGTGAATCTATTACATCTTAAAATCAAACGCATTACTTTATTCTGAAAACGCTGTAATCTCGATATTTGTGTTTCATTGGCCAAAAATAAAATGGAAGGGCAAAAGTCTAGATGAGGGGAGATGATTGATTGATTTGTATAAATCGTTTTTCAAGCGACATAGAATTCCATACTTCTTGGCAATTTTCTTGATGACATTGTCAATATGAGAATTGACCTTGAGTTTGTCGTCAATAATCACGTCAAGATTTTTAATTTCCTGAACGCGATCAATTGTCTCATCATCAATAACAACAGAAACATCATCATCTACACGATTCCGCGAAATTACCATGAATTTAGTTTTACTTATATTCAATTTCAATTGTTTATTCTTCAACCATCTACTTAGAGAACGCAAATCTACATTCAAGCGTGAAACGGCTTCTTCTAAATCTTTAGCTGCAATGAATAAGACAGTATCGTCAGCAAAAAGATAAATATCACAAAACCGTAAATTTCGTCGCATGTCATTAATATACATAATAAATAAAAGGTGCCCTAATACACTTCCCTGTCTATTTATTTATTTTACATTGCCGAGCAACACTACCACTTTTTGCTCGGGCACTCGCGAATATTGCCAAAACCCACCAGGGAGTAAGCATTGCTTGGTTACTATGATCAATATTTGTTTACTAACCACTCTTCCCGTGGTACCAATTGAATAGAGAGGTTTGAAGATCTTGAACAATTAGTTATTGTTTATGGTTGTTCAGTTCTCAAGAATAACAGCTGACTACCATTTTATCATCACCAACGTTTCGATTCAGGGGTTGGGATCTTCATCAGGGCTAGTTTTAGTTTTCAATCGCAAATTTTTTTGCGCTGAACGATAGATGGTACGACTGATGAAGATCAAGTTCAAAGACTGAACGTAACATCGTAGCTTTTTGATCTACAGTTAATCTGAGAATCCAATGCTCGAAAACATGACGAGCTGATAGCAGAAAAGTTTTATCTATAACCTAGTTACTTAGAGAGAAATGAATTGTGTATACATTCCCAAATAAGGCACGCATGGATTTAAAGCTGAGACCGTAGCCAGCTCTAAATATACCATGACAGCACTGAACCACCAACTGGTGCAACTTGATGGTGGTGTTTTCATCGAATCCAGCAGGTACAAGACGCAAAGGAGCGCAGAGAGCTAGGTGTATAGATCAAGTAGAGCAAGATCTAGGATGTGCGTGACGCTCAAGAAACTGGAGACAAGCAGCTTCGAACCGAGATTGTTTGCACAACATTGTACAGCAGGTCAAATTTAAAAGGACATTAGGCCAGCAAGAGTAAAGAAAGTAGGCCATAGCGAAAACATTAACAAATGATAGATTTTACCTGAAATTAAAATTTTCCGATATTTAATCAACTGATAAATGTTCAAGAACAAATTTGGCGATGAAATTTGATCTATTTACACAAACCATGCCTCAAAAAACCGTGGTAAACAGTACCAATACCCGAAAACCACAGTTTACCAAGGTTTTTCAAAACACGGTTTAGGTTAAAAGTTTTAATTTCACACTGGTTCTTGAACATTTATCAGTCGAATAAACAACGGATAATTTGAAAAATCATACATTTTAGTGAACCGCGATAAAAAGTGTCCGTTTGCAGCCTCGGTTTATTACCCTAGTTTGTTAGCTAGGGTTAATGAACCAAGTTTGAGCTAGAAACACTGAAAAAAATGACACATTTTTGTGAAAACATAATAATGACAACAGTTTAAAACTTGGATGAAAAACAAGTAGGGCAACGGGTTGTAATGTCAGCCTAGCCCCTCACTTCAGACTATCCAGTAAATAACTCATTCAGTCAGTAATAATACACGATAGTATTATACAATTTATACCACATCTGCCGTGAAATTGTAATCCGCAAATTAATTGCCAATTTTTGAGACCAATTTTGTACCTTTATTGCTCTTTATAAAGAAAAAGTAAACTTGAATTTTCGTATTTTCCCATTGATCTTGCCTTATTTTTTTTACTAACGAATATCTACACTACGGTGGTCATCAAAAGACCTGATTATTTCGTTAATTTAAGGGACATACCTTTTTATAACATGCTAACCCAAGGGGCAAGTCACTCAGCCCATTGTGCCGAAATTATATTCTACACAGCTTGGGCACATCCATCGGCACATTTTCGGCATACCTTCGGCACAATCTCGTAGGCATTAGATTGTTGTTAATAAAATGGGAGCACTGCTGAGCAACTGTCATTCAAGTTGTTCAGAACATTACGTGTGGTTGACTGTATGTTCAGGAACATCTTCTAATTGAATATATCAGAGGAACTCAGACCAGCCCAGCAGTTCTCTTATAGATCTAAATACGAAATGTTGGTTCTAGAGTGGGCTCAAGAGAAAGAGGCGGTTAATCAGACCTCATTAGTACCCTTAACTCTAACTAAACAAACTAAAGAATTTTATTCATCACCCTCTATAGTCGGTCTCCAACAATGCTCAAGCAAAAAAAAAACCGAAACAGAAAGGAAGAAAAAAAAAACATATTTTCGACATTTTTCCTTCAACTCCATATAAGTTGGAAACAGTAGGCTGTGAAAATGTTACGCCTTGAAAAGAGTTGTTTATTTTGTGAAGATAAAAACCTTTGCCGAAGACATCAAGTCTCCAAAACGTCAGAGAAAGAAGTTAGATTGTGGCACCATCTTTGCAGAAGAGTTTTGAACTATTTGTTTATGTCAATAGATGGTTCTTATTATGATGAGAAACTATGGCCAAGACACCAAGTCGCGAAAATGCTTCGTTTCAGAGTTATTAATTTTGCTCCGCTAGATTGCATTCCTGGCCCAGTTTATTGGTATTGGTGAAACCATTCGCGTTTACGAGAACTCTGC